GGGTTCATGGGTCACATTTGAAAGCATTACATCTTAATTGTATTGACTTTTGTCTGGTTCTGTACAGCAGTTGAATGTCCGGGGCTCCCAGCAGTTGTCAGGAGAAAGCAGTGAGGAGTTTGACTCTGAAAGAGGAGTGGGGAATGCACCTGCATTCCCATCAGGGCTGAGCAGCTTCTGGGACAATTCCACTGGAAAAACACACACTCCAATCACGTCTATCCCTTCAGAATGGCAGTGGAATTCCCTCAGGGCTTTCTGTGATGTTACCCAGGCTGGGAGTGCTCAGACATGCTTTATGGCAGGCAGATAGACACGGATATTCTAGGTGGAAAAGGAAAGGGAGCAAGCAAAAATGCTGCACACAGACTTTTTGACTTTAAAAAATGCAGTCTTGCTTATTTACAGAGAATTAACCGGTTTTGTTCCTTAAAAATGTTGGTGAAAAATGAGGTGCAAATGAGAAGTGGATAAAAACTTTAGCTGGGAGATGCCAACTTTTTTAACAGCACCTTCACCCAGCCCTACAAAATGCTCAGTTAGTCTGAATCTCTTTTGTCGTCTCCAGCTTTTTCCTCTAACACACATTTCTATGTACAGCACCATCCAGCAAAGTTTTTCCTCGTTTCTGAGTTAAATTACCATAGCAGATTTCCATGTGCTTTTGGAAGGTGACAGAGACAGCAGCTCTGTTTTCAAGGCAGGTTTCGTGAGAGATCTTTGCTATTTATTGCACCTATTCCCAGTGGAAGATTGCAATTACTATCCCACTTCCAGCAACTCTTTACCTGAATCCTGGCAGCTCTTAATTATGTGTTAAAAAGAAGTTTCATGCAGAGGAATTTCTCAGAGCAGATTACCTGTGAGATGCATTCCAGCCATTTGTCTTGTGCTTCTCTTTGGTTATTTTTGCTTCAGGAGCTGGGAGACTCTGCCTGACTTTTAATACCAGAATTTGCACTGGGAAGGAATTCCTGCTGCTGCTTTCCCAATGTTTCTCTCTCTCTTTTTTTTTCCTTTTTCTTCCCCATTTTCTGTTAGTCAGATTTGATTCTGTGTTTCTTTAAGTGAACCTCTTGCAGTCTACTGCTGAGTGTACTGCTCAGGAAAGCACAAAGAAATAAGTAACAGCCTTTCAAATTTCTGATCAAGTTTAATGTTAAACCTTGTTATTCAGCTACATAACTTTATTACACTTCAGTTATAAATGTTTTATTTTCTGTTTAAGTATTCATTAGCAGAAATGTATTAATGCCTATACTCAGAGAAATGCACCACAATGGCAGTCGTGTTGGAGTTGATTTCCAAATTAATTTCAAGCCTGCAGAAGCTGGCATTTAAAAAACACCCTAATCCAAGTCATACTAAATCCAAGATTTTAAATGATGCCCAGCTTCCAAACCATGTTAATGAGTAAAACTAACAGAGCCAGGACAGATGCACAGATTCCTGGTCCAGAGTAGGTGTGGGGTGCTGGCAGCTCTGACATTGAATGCAGGAGAAATCTGTTGCCACACAAAAGCAAGGAAATTCCAGTGTTCTCAAAACATCTAGTTGTGCTATTGTGAAAAGATTTTAATGCATGATCCACTTTATGAGATTTCTGTTTCTGTGGGGAAGTTGGGCTTTATTGCATTGATATTCTCAGAGAAACTGTTTTCCCTAAAAACTTCCAGGAAGTTCTCAAGGTTTTACCACAATTAAATTGCATTTATGATGGGTTTTTATTTCCTGCCTCATCATAGAGGTTATTCAATTATGGATGGTCACTCTGTGTTTTAACAAGTCTTTCAGAATTTATATTTCAGCATGAAAGTTAAGATGGCTTGAACTAAACCTCATTTATTAAAGGTAATCTTAACAGCACAAGGTATGTTAAATTGTAAAATGTAGAGTTCCAGGAAAGAGATGGTCACTGGGGACTGTGGTAGTAACTTGATTTTGTTGATTGACTGCCATTGATGGCTTCACCATCCCTAATCAATGTGCTGCAGGAAACAGCCACGTGTGTGACTGCAGCTTACCTTTGTTTTCTTTTGCTGCTGTTAAACCATCAATAGAATTGTCAATAAAGGAGATGGCCACTTGTTGGAAAGCTCCCCTCTGTGGTGTAGATAGTTGAGAATGTTCCTGAAAAAAGCCATTGTTGCCCCAGCAGCATTGGAAGTGGAGACTCAGAAAGCCACAGCAGCATTTGTGCCCTGCAGTTCTTCCCCAGCAGGGCCAGGCTTTGCAGGGACAAGGTCACCCTGCTGCCCTCAGTGGAAGGGGAGTGCCCAGCTGCTTGGGGATGAGAATTACAGGGCTTTTTTTCCTGCCTAATTAGCAATATTGCTCTTCATTTCGCACATCCCTCTGCATGCGTTGGGAAGAAGTCTTCAGGGAGCTCATTATGTTCCCTGCCTTGTAGTTGAGGCTTGCAAAGCTGTACCTTGGGGGGGTGGGAGGTGCATTCCCTTGAAGGAATCCCTTTTGCAGGCTGGAACACTGCTGGAAACTTGTAGGAACTCTGTAGGATGTCTCCTGTGGGGCGTGCTTTATCCTGCCCTGCGTGCTCCTGCAGAGAAGCTGTCCAGATGAATCTTCCTGACATATTTTCACTGTGAGATAATGGCTGAGGACAGAATTTTGGCTCGGATGTCGTCTGTTAATGAGTCTCTAACCAATGAACGGGTTTGGGGAGAAAAAGGAGACAATGAAACCTTGCTTGTCACCTCCTCGGCATGATTTTTCAGAGCCCAGCGTGGTTCCATTTTCTATCAGTGCAGTTTAGTGTGAGGGTTTTTTATTTTTTCTCCCCTCTGTGGTGGAATGTGGGTGAGCCACGACAGAATCCCATCGCCAGCACTCTGCTGTGCTAACACACTCCAAGAAAAACAAGGAGTTTCCAAAGGAAGGATGTAGGGCAGGAGCTTAGGAAAGCCCTTTGAGGACAACAACATGAACATTTGTTGTGAGAATGGCTGTGACTCCAAACTCCTTCTCTTGGAGCTTTCTTCTTCTGGAGGCTGGATCCCTCAATCAGAGAGGACGGCCCAAGGTACCTCATGGAATTGTTTTGTGTAAGCAAGATAAACAGTTTAAACTGGAGGAAGCATTGTGCCATTATTGCCTGGCCACCGTGGAGCCATGCCAGAAGCTGCTCCTTGAAAATTCTGTTAATCTTTGCTCAGTGGGGATGGCACTGTGGGAAGTCCCAGTTGCTCAAGTTGATCAGCACTTTAAAGGGAATTATTAGTCAGAGGCTTATAAAAAGATGTAATACTTTCCCCTGTGTATGAACTGCACCTTTCTTATTCTCACTGCCACCAGATAAATGACTTTGGATTTGTATAACATCTGTGGGCAAGCACCATAATCCTCTGGAAAAAGCCTAATTGAAGCGATCACAGACATAAAATGCTGTTATCACCATAACTTTTGCTGGAATACAACTACACATACCCCAGAATAAGCCAGAATTAAAAGGGCAGTTTCCTTTAGCAGAACCTAGTTTGCAAAATAATAGTTTTTAACTGTTACCATTGAAATATTGACTTTTTTTTTCTTTTTTTTTTTGGGGAGTGTCAATGGCATCAGCATCTCTGATAGCTGTCTGGTAGGAAGCCAGATGGTTGATAAGGAAAATGCAAGTAGCAGGAGACAATTGGTATATGCTGTCCTTTGGACTACCTGCATACCCTGAGACTGAAAAATTCACTGATCTGGTAACACCCAGTATTGCTCCTGCAAGATGGTTATTGTGTTTTAGCAGAGAAAAATGAAAATTTATTCACGTAAGGAAAAATAATTGCCACAAACCTGTTTTGTTTGCTCACAAATCATTTGATTTGGGGCTGATCGGCCCTGGTGTTTCTGGTTTTATTAGCATGAAATGCTTCTGTGGGGTGTAGAATATTTTGGGAAGCTGGTGAGAAATACACTGTCACACGATGCCTGAATTATTATGCAGATAAAATTTACCAACTTCCCTCCTCCAGTTTATCCTATTCGGGAAGATACATGAGAAATAAATGGCTGGTTTTAGGGGAAGTAAGTGCTGCTTCATCTGGAATAAGCATCCTGTCATTTCAAGATTTACAGCAGTAGCCGTTCTCCACTCCTCCTGCTCAGCCTTTTTCACTCTGCTTCTCTGCTTTAATTGCATTTTTGAGCCTTTCTCATTTGCCTATTAGCTTGGTTTTTTGTTTGTTTTGTTGTTGTTTTTTTTTCCCAGATAATCTGGAAGGTGAAGAATGACCAGGCAGTACTCAAATGCCATTTTTTTTGCTTTAATAGCTGATTAAAGAGGAGCTGGCCCCTCTCTGGTGCTCACGCTCAAATGCTCTCTCTGGGGTGTTTGAAATTGAGTCATAATTGCTGGTGCCAAAAGCTGTCAGTGCAATGGGATAGGAAGCAGTCAGCTCTTGCTAGTGTTATATAAAGTTGTCATTTTGGAAGAATGAGCAATGATAAAGAACTGTTGCAGTGCTTTTGCCCGCTCTCACAGTCAACCATGCTGCTCCTGTTGCTTGTTGGTCTCTTCTCTAATAAATTAATTTTCTCATGTAAGGAAGGAATTCAAAACAAAGCCAAAATTTAGGGGAGATAAGCCTGCATGTTTAGAAATATTTTCACTAACCATGCTTGTTCCTGCATGCAGTATAATAATGTATAAAAAGATATAAGGTTTTTGTGTAAAACATGAAATTGAATGTATTTTTTTTATCACGGCAGGCATATTACCAGCATCTAGCTGTACATTTAAAAGAAAATCCTATAAAACATTCTTAGCTCTGTATGTAAGACATATTTACAACACAAAATGCTGACTTCCCTAACCACGTGTGATTTAGTGAGTAATTATAATGAGTAATATTAATATTTATAGTGAAATCTTAGCAGAGAATGCTCTCACTGGCTCCTGCAGTATTGATGTTTTCAGGTGGACAACAGCCTGCTACTCTGAGAACCCATTCCTCAACTCTTTCTTTTCTCATTAACATTCAAATTGCTTGCAGGATGATTATTAATGAAAATGGACATTGCACAATCCAACTCTGCAGCCACCTTTGCTTTTCGGTAAGCAGCGATTTCCTCTTGGCTCGCTGTAACCTACAAGGTAATGAAATTTTTTGGGAATTCTGCATTTTGTAGGTGCAGCTCAGCCCCCCGAGCCCCTGTGGCACCATGAGCTCCTGCATTCCTTTGAGTCAATATTCCAGTTTTTTTCTGCTTCACTGAGGGGATGGAGCTTTTCTGGAGCTGTTCTGCAGCACACCTGCCTGCTCCCTCACTGTTCTGTGAATGATGCTTTCAGAATTTCACAGTGGACAACCTGTGCCCATTAAACAGCCATAACTTCCCTGGGTTGCTCTTATGCCTCCCAGTGCTGGTACCTTGCTGTTGTTATCTGACTGCAGCTATCAGCTCCACAGACATTAGGGTAAGAAAATATGTTCAGCTGCCACACCAGCAGAAATTCACCTGACTGCAGGCTCTGTAAATCTGCCTTATAAATGCCTCTTGCCTTTATAAAACACTGAGCAAACCAAAAATGGGCAAATCCTTCTGCAAGGCAAGAATTGCTAAAGCAGAGAGGAGGGAGGCTGGGAGAGAAAATGTTGGGTGCATTTGTTTACAGATGCTGAGACTTTGTAAATTAAATAGGAACACAAAGGCAAGTGTGTTCTTAGAGTATGGAAATTATTCATTATCTGCACATCATGGTAAAGCAGTTTTATCAAGCAAGCTGCACCAAAGGGCCTGACTGTCAGCTGTGGGCTGTTCTTCCTGTGTCTGTCAAGTAGCAAAAATAATATTTAAGTGATCTTTTTTGTGGATTTTTTTTTTTTCCCAGATAAGCAAAATGATGGAGACTGGCCACCACAAATTGGCTCTTTCTTTCAACTTTGTGAGTATCCAGGTTATGTTTGATAATTTGAAATTCAGATTCGGTGTCTGGGCAAATCATGAGTTTGGAAGCAGAAGGGAATGGTTTCTGTGTATCATTAACCCCATTCCAAATATCCTTAGTTACAATCAGATCAGACATAAGAAATTAATTGTCCTTGGCATGGGAGCTGTGACATCCCCAGTTTTGGAGAAAAAGCAATGAAAATATGGAAAATTTAATGGCCTTGCTCTGTAGTACCTGAGAGGAGATGGATGTTGGGATAACAGTAATATCTTACCTCACTTTTACCTATAGATTGTCTGGATGCTGTGTGATTTCCTAACGAGAGGACCTTGCTGTTCTCAGTACTTTGAATTCCAGAGAAACATTTCCCAAGACTTTTCTAAGGCAAAGGTTTTCCTTTATTTGTCCTGAGCTTCTGCTGTTTCCTTCAGCAGCCTGTGGCTCATTTAATCCAAGAAAATTCACTACAGCCCTAAACCTACCCCTGCAAACTCATGTTTTTATAATTCTAACTCTATTTCTTCCATTTGCTTTGCTGGTGCCCCAGTCCCCCTTTCCCCTCAGCAGCCTGAGGGGGGAAGATAAATCCAGGGATAAACTCTGAGCTCCTCCCTGGGGTTTCCCATCTCCAGCCATCAGCTCAGTCTCACCCTGCACGGTGCTGATTTGCCATGGAAATCTTCCTTTCTGCACAAATTACAGAATACTCCATTGCCAGGGTGCCCTTGAGCTTCTGAAAAAAGGAAAAAGCATCACATCCTGTTCAAATGGGACAGGGGTAAAGGTCTCTAAGCAAAGGCTCCACACTTTTCTGGTCTATCAGCACAAGAAACACACATCTGGGTATTTTTCAGTTGTTTCATCTGTCATATTTCAGATTTAACTTGATGTATTTGTATTTGACTTCATTTTTCATGTTTAGCTTGATTTAAAGATTTTGGAGGAAAAATATCTTTGAAGGCCTATCTGGTTTTTTGGTTGTTTTTCCAAGTTGGCTTCTGTTCTTGATTAATCTTCTGAGCAACAATATTCTGTTTTTCACAGTGTACACACTCTACACATGATTTAAAATCCCAAATCTGAGATGTTAATATTCAAAGCCAGACTTGCATTACTGTGTTTATGACATGGAGATATTTTTCAATATGTTTGTACCAGTATCTGATTTTTAAATTACCCCTATTTTTGCGGGGGAAAAAATATATATAAAATAAAGAATTGGGTTTTTGTTCTTCTATATTTAGCAATAATGATTATGAGCTTATTTATATTCATAGATACTATATGAAGTTATTATTATTGCTTTATGAAAAAGCAAGTATGCCTTTTATTTCGTAAGAGGATACAGAGTGAACTTTATTTAATGTTCTCTTCCTAAGGGGTAAGGATAACCAGGAGGGGAGAAAGTTTTCAGAACAGGGACTCTGGTGCTGTCACTTGTGTAATTTTAACCTCTGAAGGTCCAATAATGTTGTTTTTGCAGAATTACAACCACATGTTTGGTTCCCATCTCTCCCATGACATTCCAGGGCTGACATTTTCAGTTTTGGGGAAAAGGAACATTTTGCCCTTTATCCTGTGAGAATATTTGTTGATGCATCTCCTAAAGCAGACTTGCTTGAGGGTAACCTGAAATCACTCATCTGTCTTCTTGCTCTGGTCTGAATGGGTGTTTCTCACCAGCTTATTTACCTACAAATAAATATTTGGTGGTGCTGGGCTCTCCCTGTATTCAAAGGAGAGCAGCAGGAAAGACACAAAAAGAAGGGAGAACTTTCTTTCTGTTAAGAAAATAATCTCTGAAGCTGAATGCCATTTGTGGGCTTGTGAAAATCAAGGTGAGATTTGACTTCCACAAAACAACATTTCAGAAACAGAACTCAAGGAGGGAAGTGGTGAGGTCAGTTGATGGCACAGACAGTTCTGTATTTAAATCTGAGTGTTGCAGTCTCTGTTTGAGGGTGCTGCCTGGTTTCTCTGTGGCAGATAATGCAGTAGCTGGAGCTCATCTGAGCTTGGATTCTTGGTTGGATCCAGCTCTCAGCTCTTCAGATGTTGAGTGACTCAATGGCATTTCTGGGGTTTGATTGCTCTGCTCTCAAGAGGCTTCTCTGCAAAGCTGGCAGCAGCAGAGCACTGTTCACAAGGAATGGAAATTCTAACTCTATTTCTTTAAATTTTTCGCTTGACTTATTAATGTTTTCCTCTCACTCACGTAACTCTTTTTTTTGTAAGAAGTTGGACAAAATTCTAAGTTAAGATTTTTTTTCTCTTTTGTAACTGTTTCTTTTTGGCTTGCATGGAAATAATTTTCTGAATAATGCCACAAGGCAGAGCACTTGTACAAATTAGCCTGAGAGAGATGTGTTGAAATCACTGTGAGACTCTTGCATTATTTACATCGTGACACTCTGTCAGTGTACTAATGCTCAAAACTGTTTATATTCCCGGATTTAACAAATATGTAAATCAGGTGCGCATTTCCCTAGGAATGCAAATGTCTCTAATGAGGAAAGACAAACTTCAGAACAAACAAACAAAGTGGAGAACAAGTTAAATAGCTTGTGTGGAAGTGGGGATAGAAAGGAAGTGGACTGGAGATGCTGGGATGTAATAATCCTCGCAGTCCTGGCATTGTTTCATCAGCCCATCTTGAAGCTCTGACAGATCAATTGTTTCTTAGCAGGGAGAGAGCTGGGGGGGATGGCAGCCAGGCAGAGTTTTCCCATAAGAAGGCATGAAAATCTCTGGTTTTGCTCTTTGTGGCAACCCAGGGAGCTGAGAGGATTGAGTTCCACTGGCTGCATTCGTTAACTCGGGCACAAAACCACTCCAAAGGGCCCCAGCTCTCTGAAACTCTTGTTTGTGCTGCAATAATTAAAATAGCTGTTTGATTTCAGTGTAGAGGCACAGAATGGGAATAGCATCGTGGTGAATTGGGTTTAAGTGTTATGGAAGGATTTGAATGTCCTTCAGAGAAGCATTCAGTTCAGATTTCATGTCAGAACGTGGCCCTGCTTTAGTAAGGATGACTGATATCTTTGAATCACCATGCTCTGGACTGAGTTTATGCATGGTGGGAATGGTTTTTATTGTGCTATGTTTGTGCTATGCTTGTTATTATGCACTGCTCACTGAAAACTTTATCTTCCATTACAAGCTGAATTCCTTTCTGAAGAGCAATTAAACAAAATTTGCTTACTAAAATAAGGCATCATTTATTTCAAGCTAACTTCTATTTTGAATTTTGATGGCTTCCTGCTAAATATGCAAGCTTTCTTTTCTGTGAAATTAGCCTAGTATCTAAAATCTGAGTTCCTTGGTATTTTGTTTTTCATCGTGTACCTTCACCCCCAAAGTTCTGGTAAGAATTATATTTCCCAATTATCATCCATCTTTAAGAAGATCGTTATGGTAAAATTAGTCTGACTTTTCCAAGATCTAAGAATTATGGATAGTGCATGAGTAATAAATGGGGTAAAATGTTTTAATTAACATTCTTCAGTGTTCCTTTGGCTGCATATTGTATGTAACTATTGCCTTCTCTGTCTAATTCCAGACTTTTAACTAAAAATGTTCTGTGTGTCTCTTACAGTCAGAATATCAGGTGGGTTCTGTGCTGTGGCAGCACCATATTCCTGATGCTCCTGTCTCGTTTGTCATTCCAGAGCTGGACCTGGACTTGCTTTAGCACACCCTCCTTTCTTTGTGCTGCCAGAGCTGCTGGGGAGGGGCCATCAGAAGCAGAGCAAAACCATCCTGAGAAATGCTGTCTTGAACTTTGTGTGCTGCTGACTCTGCCATGCAGCTCTGGGGGAGGTTCTCTGAGCACAATTAGTGCCTGATCAAAGCTGAGCCAAATCCCCACGTCCCAGTGTCTGTGGAATGTCCAGCTGTGACTTCCAGGGGTGACAATTCCTTGGCTTGGGGACACAAGGGGATGCCTCAGGTTTGGCTTTTCTATTTTTCAGGTTCTGTGCTGCTTTAGTGTGTGGGTCTGGGTTTCACATTATGGGATGCTGAGCTCTGCACAGAGCAGAGACAAAACAATTCCTGCTCCAGCTGGGCACCAAGGACAAATGATCCAAACCTCAGCCCAGGAGCACAAACAGCGTGGGCTGGAGAGAGAAAAACCAGCAGGGTGGGACTGCCTGGGCTGGAGCTGGAATGGGACAATGAACTCCAAGGTGCCAATGGAGCAGAACTGATCCCAGGGAGAGCCCCCAGGAGCGCTCGTGCATTTTGGGACCATTTTGGGTCATTTGGGTGCAGCCCTGGCTGGGCTCTGGTGCTGCCCAAGGTGGATCCATGAGGAGATCCTTTAATAAATCCCTAATTTATTCTGTAGCGCTGTCTGGTCTCTGCTCTAGGTCACCCTGCTCATGACATCAGAGCAGGCTGTGTTGGTAGCACCGACCTCTCTCCACCCCATTTCACCATGAAGGTGCAGCAAAGCTCTGCAGCAGCAGCAGCCAGCACAGAATTTATTTTCATTTCTTTCTCAGCACTCCCATCCAGCAGCTTCCTGCTCTGCTGTGCGCTGACACGTGTGGGAGGTGCTGGTTTTGGGCTGGCTGAGCCCTGAACCTCCTCCCTGGAGCAGCGAGGAGTCCGTAATGACTGAGAGCTGCCGGGCAGGGAAAACCTGAAACTCACAGAAGCCTCACTAGAAACCAGCATCTTACTAAATTGGTACCTCTAATACCTCTAATTAATGCCTTGGCTGGGTCTCCAAGAGAGCAGGAGTTCAGTGACTTTCTTAAGAATTATTCTGCACTATGTAGAAACTTTTAAGCAGCGTACAGTTGCTGTCAGCTAAAATGCTGCTCAGAAATCTGAACTGGCAGGTGCCCTTAAGTCTTGTTGGTTTGGATTAATGTTTTAAGTACTACCAGAAATTCTATTTACATTGCATAAATAGAACCTTAAAATGTAGCTGCGGCACCGAATATTGTTTAAGGACTCAGAGCCTCCAGCTGAGTATTTATTTTTTACCCTAATTTTGTAGAAAAATGTGAGGAAAAAAGAAGGTTTTTTGCCAATTTGGCGGTTAGTTGCCTTATTGTTTTTTGTTGTTAATTTTTTTTCGGGGGCGGGTTTTTTTCGGCTTTTCTTTGGGTTTTGCACTTTTCCAAAAAGGACTTTTCTTTTCGGGATTTTTTTTTTATTTGTTTTTTTGGGACCTTCTTTCTTCTTTTTTTTTTTTTTTTTTTTTTCAACTTGTTCTTTTTGATTTTAAATTTTTTCAAGTTACTTAAATTGGACTTTTTGTATTGGGGATTTCGGGAAGGAAACCATTGCCACTTTTTTTGATTGGCTTCCGTTTTCTTCTTTTTTGAAAAAGGTTTTGTTGGGTTTTTTTTTTTATTTTGATTTTGAATTTTTAGTTTTTTTCACCAAGATTTTTTTATCAGTTGGTTGGAATCCTTTGTGCCAGAAGTCAGCATGAATTGTCAGAGTAAGACATGGATTTTAAAACTATGGGAGTCAAGAAGAGATGAGCATCTTCTTTGTTCCTGTTTGGAATTATTTCAGTATATTTTCTCTACCTAGAAATATCTATTTGATTTTAAATTATTTCATCCTCTTCTTTTAACTTTTTCCCTTTTTTTAGGCTTTGTGGGCAAAAATAGTTCTGTAGTTCTCTGTTCTTTTCAAGGACAGTGGAAATGAGTTTTTTTTCATTTCTGAGTTTATGGTGCTCTCTTTTTAGAACTAATCCTTGCAACATGAGTCTGACTGGCTTTTCAGATTTAAAAGTTTTCTGAGAGAGTGGAGGAGACAAGAAAAGCTGTGTGAGAACATAGATTGCATGTTAGTTTGATTTCCTCATGAAAAAACAATGATCTCTTTTTCTAACCACTTTCTTCCAGAATGATCTGAAGAGGTGTTTAGCAGCAGTAAATGTGAAGTCTCTGTGCATTTGAGTTTTGCAGCTTTGAAAAGCTTTCACATGAAGAGGCAGCCTGGAGAGAGAATGGACAACAATTAAACCAGAGAACGGGGAGGCTGAAGGGAGCTCTTCTGCTTTGAGTTTGATGGTTGCTAGCTTGTTTCTGCAGCTGTTGGAGTTTTTGGGATGCTCTGTTGGTCTGTGTGTGTTTGTGCTTCTCCCTGTACTGAGGATGGTTTCTGTGCTCCCTGCCAGCCTGAGCTGCATCACCTTCCTCTCACTTCTGGAACTTAAAGGATTTCTGAAAATCCTTCATTCTCTGAGATCAAAAGCTGCTGTAAACCTGGGTAAGTCGGCTGCACTGGAGCTGTCTGAGGTGATATTGGTTGACAATCCACCTCCCAAATCTCTTTCTTGCCTAAAGTGCCTGAGCAGTGACTAAAGCAATGCCACAGATTTGAACAGTACTCTTATTTCTCACCCAGATCTTAGCCCTGCTGCTTTACCCTTGATTTAGTTCTCCTCTGACCAATTCTTTTTAAGAAGCAGTGGCTGTTTTTTGATCCTGCCGATCCCAAATGGTTTCAAATTCACTTTTTTTTTATAGGAGTCTATTCTCCATGTTTAAATAGAAGTCAGCATGAAGAAGGAGGCAATGCTTCAACAGGGGTTGAGCTGAATATATTTCCTTCTGAGCTCAATTAGCTCGTGCTCTTCAATTTGACTGGGAGCTATGATTACAATAACTGCAGAAAAACCAAATCCCAAAGTTTTGTGTCACCCTGAAACATAGTTATTTTTCAGAAAACGTGGCTTTAGGTCAGTACTTTGGTTTAAAAAATGAATTGTGGACCTTCCCAATATTGAGATGTTCCCAATTTGGAAGGTCCCTGTCTTATTTTAAAAGGTCTCTTGGGCTGCTGTCTGCTGTTCTACAGGTAGATGAGGAACTCCTCCAAATGGTTTCTTTTCAAACATGGCCTCTAAAGGCTGGATTATATCTACCCCCAAATTCCTGTGCTGGTTTAGCTGAGGTGGAGCCCTGGGCTGTGCTGCTGTGCCTTGAAACATAAATTTTAAGGAATTTAGAGATTTTAGAGGAGCTAAATTTCAGATAAGCCTTACTAGAGTTAATTAAAATAAATGAGTAGACCTTGATGAAGTTAAGAGTTGGTAGTTAACTAATAATTGATTGCTTGTCAGCACAATGTTTAGTTAGCTGGGTTTATAATGAAGAATACGCAAACTGACAAAGAGCTTTTAGGAACATAAGACAATTATATAATAATTATGTTGGTTCTGAAACCAACTGGAGACAAGGAATGGGACTTCTACCAAGAGTTCATTTGTCATATTTGCATTGAAAAGGTAGAAAGGTCGGAATGAGGAAGACTTCATTGACTTCCTCATTTTGGGACCCCCACCATGGAAGGGACACCGACCCATTCCAAGGGACAAACCACGCTTGCTGAATGGCTTTGGGAGTGATTGGCATAGGAAGTGAGGAATGGGCTGTACCAAAATGATGAATATGGATTTGTATTTTGGGTATTCAATACTTGTATGGATAAAAGGGCTCTGTAATGACCTGGAAGCTGTGGTGTGGATTTGGGAGCGATCCCATACACAATAAACACACACTTTCTAACTTTAAACTGTTAGAGAGTTTCTCTCCCTCACAGTTGGATATCGGTACTAGATCAATATCCATATTTTTTTAATAAATTAGCCTGGCTGCCAGTGCTGCCCCTGGGCACAAAGCTCTGCCCACAGCCAGAGCCTGATTGCTCACTCTGTCCTGGAGAAAGCTCAGGGAGAGACAAGCTTTCATTTGGGGAGCAGACAGAGAATCCTGTGGGTTCATCTCAGCTGCTCCTGTAAGAGCAAAATAATCTGAGAATCAAAGAGGAATCAGAGCAGGCATCCTCCTGCTCACCCAGTTGGTGCCTATCAGCCAGTTTGTGAGCAGGGGAATAATGCATGAAGAGTGTCTCCTCTGTCAAAAAATATTTATTACACGCTCACTCCAGCTTGTTTCCTTGCTTTATTTCATTTTGTTAATGAAAGAAAAGGCTGACATGTTCCTCTGTGGCTGCTGTCTTCAGGAATATTCAGGGTAGTCCCACTGATTTAAGATTTTCATATTAATACCAAAAGTAATCAGCTTGCAATTGCCAAAATGAACCCACCCTTTCTGTTTTGGCTATAAAAATGCAGAATAAACAACTTCTGTCTTAAGCATGTGATGGGTTAATTGCTCATTAAGTAATCATTATCTTGTAAATACAACTTTGAGCTCAGGGAAAATGAAAAATAAAACACCATGCTGTTATTTTTCTTTATTATTGGAAGACATTCCATGGAGTCAATGCATGCAGAGGATGTTGGACAAGTGTTTAAAGAGCTTAAGCTGCTGTTTGGGAAGGATTTTCAGAGAAAACTGGAGAAGCTGTTACACAGTGTGCTACTTCATATATTAGAAGGTTATAAAAACTTACAGAACAGGTAACAAGATCAAAAAAACAAATACTTTTATGCCTGCTGAACCATGGGGGGTTTGCCTAAATAAGAGAGACATAAGCTTTTCATTTTTAATACAAGTAGAATTTCTTTCAGCTACCACTTTGTGTGACATAACTACTGCAGATCATAGAAAATAAGGCTGAAAGAAGTTTTCAGCTTTTTTTTTTCCAGTTTATTGCTCACCTATAAGAAAATATGAACTAAACTATTTGTGATCAATATTTACTCTGTTTTCTAAATATCCTTTTTTAGCTCCATCGCCCCATGTTTCTTTGCCCCCTTTTTTTTACTTTTAAATTGAACTCTAAACCAGTTCACTGTACCAAGTTACAAACATGTGATGATTTGGACATGAAAAGGGAAATTCATGAGAACCATAAGGAACTTTGCAAGGTAAGTCATGTATACAGTAAGAGTTTGCCTTTTAAACTCTGTTTTTGAGGGTGTTTGGGGAAAAGAAGAAATGACTGCTAGAAATATCTGATTTTTTTATGCTTAATGATCTTTTACTATGAACAAATAAAGATTTCTAGCTGTGTGTGGCATCTGTGTTTGAAAAGGATCAGACACTGAGAAAGTTTTATACAATGAGTCTTCTTTGATTCTAGAAGGAAATAGGATTTGTGGACAAGCTCATTATGATTTTAGTATCTCTCCCCATTTCCACATCCCCTCCCCAGTCAAATCCATTTGGAAAACTGGTGAAATTTGTGGCACTTGATAATGCTGAAGAATTGTCTTAAGAAAATCATGTCTGAGTCCACCATTTGGGGCCTGTGTGAGGAGCCATGGGTGAATCAGAAATTCTGCCAAAGCCACAGGAAATCCATGGAGATGTGAGCAGAAGGTGAGGGCAGTTCAGTAGGAATGGGATTTAGAAATGTTGGTTTAAAGCCAATGTCCTGTTGAACTCTGGGAGTGCCTGAAAAATGTCCCTAATGTGGGGAAAAAAACAACAGAGCAATTCTGCTTGAAATGCTGCTGTCTGAAGGCAAAGCTCTGCCAGCCTTGGCATTAAAATGGGGCATTTCCTATTTGCTGGGGTTTCTGTGATTGTGAGCAATTTCCCTGTGGTGACTTGTGCCCCTTAGCACTGGGGGAGTGAAATCCAGTGCAGTGAGCACTGGGAATTCCCTGGAGCCCCAGGTCCCTGCCAGTTTGGCACAGCATTAGAGAATGTCGTGGTGGGTGAGTTTTTATGTCACAAGGAGTTGCAGAGTTAAGCAGGATAACATCACTGTGTCAGGGTAGAGGGAAAAAAATGCATAATAGCTGTTATTAGGCACTGGAAGCTCAAAATAAATCTGTTTCCAGCACACCATTGTGAATGAGAAAGGAGAGAGAGAATTATCCCTTGCTGGTGGCTGTTAGCATAGCAGGGTAAGCTGCTTTCCTCCCCCTTTCTGTTTCCCAGGAGTTCTCCAGAAAAGAAACTCTTACACAGAGATTGTTAGCTTGGCAGGGAAAGTCAGGTGTCCAATCTTTGTTAAGTTTGTTCTTACTCAAGATTCTGAACACTGTAATTATGGTAAATAAACTGGTGCTTATGGCAGGTTTGCATAGTATTTGCTCTTGATAACAATGTTGGTTTTGTCCAGTGTTTTGGAACCTCCAGAAAACTGGAGAGGAAAGGGCCCCCAAGTTACTTATACACTTCTGTTGGTCTATTTGTAATTTTTAATTGACAGCTCTACATTTCAGTATTTAGCTACTGCACTGTTGTTTTTGATCCATTGCCCTCTCTCGTTTCCAGAAACTGGATGAATGAACTTGAAATAACCTTTAAGTGGTCACCCTGGAAAGAACAGAGAGTTCCATGTGAAAAGGCATTGAAGTCAGTTCATGTGATGCACACTTTGGGGTTCCCACTTCCCACAGGAACACATCAGAAGACAAGGTACTTTATTAACTTAACCAAGCATGAATTTGTCCTACAATTTTGCCATTCGTTCCAATGGGACATGAATATTTTGTTTCCTAATCAGCACAATTAGCCCGGAGCTCAGGTTGCAGTGTGTCACTGCAGTGACAGCTCCCCCTGAATGACAGCTCCTCTCTGTAGTGAGAAATGGCAGCATTTGTAAACCAGGGTTGTTTAAAGAAAAGACTCGATTCTGGAGTGACTATTTCACAGTTAATCATTGCTGCATTCTACAATGCACCTTCAATATACCTATTTTAAACTGATCTGGCTGGTCTGCTGAAAGGGACCTGAATGGTGTGTAGCAGAATATTCTATTGCAGCACCTACTAGCAGAATATTGTTGATGGCAATTAGAGGATTCTCAGACACACTGTGAAATGTGATCCAGTAAAAAAGTCACTAGTGATGGGTGTCAGAGTTTGTCACGCTCACCTTGGTGGCAAAACTCTTGCCATGCTTTTTCTTGTCACTTGTGCAGTTACTGTCACCAGCCTCTTCCTAATGGAAGCCTTATTTTTTTATGTAGCAGAAGCCACCACTTGTGTCTCTGAATGTGTGTTTGCATGCACATATATATATTATATATTGTCATTTATATAATAATTATGTATAATCATTATTCCATTTATCCTTAAGCCAATGGCATCTAGCTTAACAAAAAAGGAGGAATGAGTATTTTACACTCATGAGCACAGGAAAGGAGTCTTGGACTGAAGGCTGACTTGGAAGCTCTCAGCTAATTTTCATGCTCATCAGCATAGCCAGAAATCTGAATTTAAATCACGACTTTTGGAACCTCAGTTTGTATCTGCAATACATGGACTGTATTTAGTTTCAGATCTTTGGACAAGGGATCAACTCATTAATGTTTGGATGGCAGCAAGCACAGGCCTCTATTTGTACCTGCAGACCAGGGAAATTAGTGCAAAATACATCTCTAATTCTAAGAATAATGTCACCCCTCCTCCCAAAATGAGAAAAAAACCTGGTGACGCCATAAGGGCTTCTGAACACTTTCCGAATGTTCAGGAAATCTGCAAATTGTCAGAAAGTTTTAAGGCATATTATGGCAGAAATCTTGACATAAGTGTGCTGCAGACATCAAAAAGACTAATGCTCGTGTCATGCTGATTTCATTTTCCTTTTGTTGTATAAATACACACACAGTACTTTAAAAATATTGGAGGTGATCTGAAGTGGTTCATAAAACCTTGCTGGTTTGCAAATCACCGGGATATTTTAACTGCATTGCCTGGTTCTGAGTTAGTGTCTGAGGCATCTTGCATTCTGTTATTCCTGGGATTGCATCTGCAAGTTGTGGATGTGCAATATTGATCCAGAAACTTGGCATTTCAGCCTGGAGGAAAAGAGCAGCTTCTGTGTAGGATCTGTGGTGTGAAATTCTGCTCGTGGTAACTTCAACAGCTTCTCCTTTGTTTAAAAAAAGTGCTGCTGGTTTTGTCTTCCCACTGCACTTCAGTGGAAGAAGCTTTTTTTTTTTTTTAGGCTCTTCACTGTCAGCTTTCCTCTGGAGATTTTTCTCTAACAAATCATGATGTATCTTTTTGGTAAAACCCAGAGACTTTGAAAGGAGCACTGCTTCCTAGTGCATACTTCTATACATTTTATTCACTATATATAGACATTCATGGTTGGTAAATATTTGGTGTGTTGGCAGTTGAAGAAGGTTTCTCTGGAAAGGATGACTGAAACCAGCGATGATTCTGGATTTCAAGTAATTAAATGATGTTCAAATAATTTCACAAATGTTAAATAATCTTAATGGAAAAAAAGCCCCTCTAATGTTCAGCATTTAATAACCAAGAAAATGTGTTTTCAGCAGTTTAAATGCATTTAAAATATTTCAGTATTTTACACTGTTAATGCCTAAATTGCTTAGGCTAATAAGAGGACATTTGACTTGTATTTCTGTGCCTGTAAGATTTCCCCCAGCCATTTGGCATGGGACAGCTGAATGTACCTAATTATCATCTCAAGATCCAGTCACTGATTTTTTTCCCCCACCCCCATGCTATATTTACCTTTCATGTGATGGGTTATAAAAACCTCTTATTCTGAGGGCTCAGTAATCCATGTTTTAGCAGGGTGGGTTCAAAATGTTCTGCAGTCACAGAGAGTCTTGCCTGGGTGTTTTACAGAAAGCAAAGCCAAGTTTATGTAACAGAAACAGAACATGAAACGTGTGGCAGGAGGGATTTGTGCTCATCCTGCTCCCAACTTCTGCCACCTGAACCTTGGTTTATGTTGTTTTGTTGCTTTTTGTGCTCACTAATTAACATTTCTCCCCTGTCCCAGGATAGCTGAGTGCAGTGAGCCCAGCAATCATTAGGACCACTTGAAAGCTTTTCTTAGAATTGCTGCCATGATGAGACCAGGTGACAAAACATGCAATGAAATGCTGTATCTTGAGAAAAAGGTAAAGTTGGTGTCATGTAACACTCCTGTGATGATAGATTAGCCAATGTAATTGCAGGAAATAAATGTCATCACCTGTATGAAGATAAATAGCTTTTCCTGCACTAGCATGCTTTTGCACATAAAATGTGTCATTTTACCAGTTGTCCCCATTTTTTTTGCCAAATAAATTTTATAATGGCCATAAAAGGAAAGTGTGATGTGTCTACTTAAGTGTTAGAGTGTTAACAGAGGGCACTTCTGTGCTTCTATATAATTGAAATCAATGACATTGTTACCTGAAAAGTTGTTTTGTAGCACAGTTACTTGACAGAAATGTTTATTTCCATTCCCTGACACATCTAAAAGTCAAAGTGTGTGGAATCAGATGCACATGCATCATTAGCATGTGGGTGGCTGGAATTTTGTCATAAATGTCTGCAATGGGGCTGTGATGTGTTCTCCTGGCAGACTGGGACGTGAGGCTGTCACCTGCAAGGGTGGCAGTGAGACACTGGAAATGTCAGTTCATTCTGTCCTGGCAACAGCACTGCCAGGACACAAGGAGAAAAGCATCCACATCATCTCCTTGGTATAAAGGAAAGGTCAGATAGGATTATCAAAAACATTTAAAAACATTAGAGCTGTTTCTAGGTTTTTTAGTATGGATGGGAAAGTATTTGCTCTCCTGCACATGAACGGGGGATAAAGTGAAGATCTACATTGCAATGAAAATTGCTCAGAATTCTGGGATAAAATGATTTAACTACCAGGCAACTACTTGGTATCATATTTGTTAGGTGATTTGTGGTCCAAACCCAGTTGTCTGAAATTTCTACCACAGGAGAAGTGAATGCCTTCTTTCATCTGACACTCTGATATCCCAGACTTAATGAAACCAACCTTTTTACCCCTTCACAAAACAAACCAATATGTATTCAGATGAAGAACTAAATTACTTTCATATTTGCTAAGTACCAACTATCCTGAACAGGTTTGGACACCTCCTTACTCTTGTTGAGTGGTTCTCATTTTGCTTTTTGTAGCCAACAGTAATTTAGTAGGTAATAGTTGGTGGCATGTAAAAATGGATTTTCTTCTGTAGGTCTCTAAGTGTAACTTTTCCCCTGTGAAACACCAGGAAAAACGTAATTTCTTATATAATAAGAAATAATTTAGTGTCTTAGGCAATCTGTCTGAATGTCTGGGTGTGGGCCACGCTGTTTGGTAATCGTGGGAGTGGGTCCAGCACAAGGGCAGTTTGTTC